GAGACTCTATAACCAAGCTCATTCCGTCAATCCAACTCGACGAGGAGTTGGACACGAGTTTTGTGCTGCTTGGGTCACACGTTCTATTAGTATTGGGGTTAGGTTTTACTCTCTATAAATACAAGTTCTTCACTTGTAATCATTATTAAAAAAAATAGTAACATCCTGACTTGGTAGCGCCCCCCAGACGTAGTCATTCGTGGCGAACTGGGTTACCAAATTTCGTGTGTTCTTCTTATTGTTCTTCGTGTTGCGTGAGTTTTGGGGGGCCCTCAGGGATGGGGTGTCATCCCTTTTTTTTCGTGTTGCGTGAGTTTAATCTTAACATTAAATTCAAGGGAAATTGCCCTAAACATGACTAAAAACATTCTTATATTCCAATATAAAACTATCATGTTTAATTTTATTCCTGAAATAGAACTAGTTACTATCATGTTTTGGAAGTACTAGATTTTAAACATTGCAGTACTTTCCAAATTTGGCAGCAATTACTCATATTTTGATAATAAAAACATTGGAGTCCTATTTTAGAAATTTCGAACTTTTTTACTCCTATTTCAGGAATTTTCCTAATTCAAGGGAATACATGTTCGATTCCTAAAAATTACCATGCGAGGTTACTATGTAAAATGCATACGGCTTCTCCAAGTACTTAGAGGGTGTTTGGAACTGATTCTACTTCTGCTTCTTTTTTAAAGCAGAAGCAGAATCAGAATCAGTTTTCAGAAGCTGGTCACCACCAGCTTCTAAAAAAATTGATTCTATGAGTAAAAAGAAGCACCATAATCACTTCCGTACTTTCACCCAAACACTCAAGCTTCTGCTTATGCTCCCTCGAGGAGCAGAAATGGTTTTAAGAATCAGATCCTAACACCCGCATTTTTAGAAATACTAGGCTTGATATATGTGATTTAGCGTTTTCAACTTAAATATAGCATTTTTAGAGTAAATACAGTCTGAGATTCAAATTCGGTTAATTATATAGTCTTCTCGTAATATTTTGAAATCGATGTCTGAACACAAGTCTCACTCACTATCTATCAGTTGTGATTAAAGATTAAATTTAGATCATCTTAGAAACTACTACCTCCGTCCCCCTAAGTTTGGGACAAGAGAAGGTGGCACGATTTTTAATAAAAGTGAGTTTATGTGGTTGATATTGAATTGATAAAGTAAGAATAAAGTAGGAATGATTTAGAACCACCCAAACTTTACCAAATAAGGTATGAGACAATCTTAGTGGGACGGACCGAAATGGTAAAATGGGACAATCATAGCGGGACGGAGGGAGTATGTAGTATTTGGCCTGTAGGCACTCTCATTGATGAGGTGTCATCTGTTTTTTAACTCGTAAGAAAGTGTCTTTTCCCAATGTTTCCTTTCAGTTTTCTATCATTATCCTCCTCCAAAAACAGCCAAATAGATGCACACAATTTCCAGGAAATCCGTTATTTGCAGGAAACAGGTTGTATGCCCACGCTGGGAATTAGAATCATTGAACTTGAGTTTGAAGCATCATATGCCAGCTCCCATGTGTATTCTCAAATTCCCGACAAAAATGAGTGAATACAAGTCATCCCAACGCGTTGTACGGAGCAATTAAGGCCTGAAGTAATTAAATGACTTTTTTCCCAAAACGATGTTAAATCTCCCCTTTTGACCCGACACAAAGATTAAGATAGTGTGTTTTGTATGGTAGAGAGTTGTGCAAATAAGAAAAAAATGTGTAAGAATTATTGTGAATCACAAATTTTTTACCAAAAAGGGAAAGAGGAAATAATTTCGAGATGGATAAAGTAAATAATTATGTAAACAATTGCAGAAATACGTTTGCAGAAATACGTTTGCAGAAAACTGAACTCACGAATGAACATTTGCAGAAATACGTTTAACCTAACATTAATTTAGTAAACAATTTTGATTCAACATTTCTTTTGGAAAAAACTCTAATTACACCCTCACCATAGATATTTTATGTATTTAGTTCCTATTTCTATTAATTTTATAAACAATTTAGTGAATTTACCACTACATAGTATGGGGTATTGATGTTTTAATATTGACATTATTACATATATATGACTAAAGTAGAGATTGTTTACAAAAATATGATTAATGACTAGATTAGTAATGAAATTTTAGGAACTTATGTTTAATCTTTATACTTAAGTTATCATGACATGCCATTATACTAACTATTATTCATATTCATATTCATTTAATGGGCATAAATGAGCCAATGACGGCTAAAACAAACCTCCCATCACTCAATCCTAATGTAAGAGTCTTACAAAAATAAAAGTAACCTACAGAAAAATAAACAGTCTGATCATGAAAAATAAATAGCAATCAATCAGTGAAATTAAAATACTGCTTCCAAACTCTACTCTCCTGCATTCCAAGGTGGTGGTTCGGGAGGGGGACGGTCTAACAGTACTGTAGTTTCTTCCGCTCATTGCCTGGTAAGCTCGTATTTCAACACGCATTTGATGCGTGTTGAGACTGAGTTATGTCACTTTTCCTATTTATTTGCGTCACAAAGTGTTTATTTAGCTCAAGATATGAAATACCCGGGTTTTGGTTTGCATTTTTCGAAGAAAATGGAGAATTTGGACCCCGACGTCGGCATTTGAGCTTGATTGGAGAAGATTTGGGATGCGTTCGAGAGATAGCAAGAGACATCGGAGGTCCACGAGATGATTTTGAGGCACGATTCGAGGCTTGGAAGGTAAAAGATTGAAGATAGGATCGATTGGGAGAAAACGGGGAAGAAAATAGCAAGAAAATGGTTCTAGAGCCATCCGCGCACCCCGCGGGTCTGTACTGCACGCCCCGCGGGTAATTCAGAGAGCTAGAAGTGAAGAAGTCTAAACCGCATGCCCTACGGATGAATCGCACGCCGCACGGTCCAGAACACCCCCTCAGAAGTACCCGCACACTTGTACCGTGTGGGACCCGCACGCCGTGTGGGCTGAAAAGTTACGGAGCATAATCTTACTTTTAACGCGGCCACATGGTACGCCGCACGCCGTGCGGGCGACCGTGCGGTCGTGCAGTTACGTTGTTTTCCGGATTTTTTCTATTTAAAGGCCCGTTTTTGGCCATTTTTGGAGGAGGAGCTTAGAGAGATAAACCCTATTTCGACTTTTGAGAGTTTTTCAAGCCTTGTTCTTCAAGATTAAGGGATTCTTTGTAAGTTCTATCTTTTTAATTAATGACAATTGTTTCTATTTATCCCAATTCTATTGATTCTTCAATTATGAGTTGTGAGTAGTTTTAATTAGGGATTTGGGATTGATGAAGGGGTTAATCATGATGTACGGCTAGTTTCTTGATGGACTAATTGCATGAATGTCATTTAATTTGTGTTTGAATAATTTAATTGATATTTCTTGTAACCTAGAATCGCGACTAGAATTACAATTGCTTGTAGAATAAATTAAGAGAGATCTAGTTTATTCTAAGACACCTTCACACACACTTAATTGCTCACTAAGTGATTAGTAGCGATTAAGGGGCTTAAGCTCGCTCGTCTTGGCAATAATTTAGAAACCTGTCGCATGAGAGATCAGTCTGGTCCCCTAAATTATTGCACTCTTTGCCGCGAGAGCGGTAATAACTTAGTAATGATTAGCTAGGCTCAATTAAATTGATTTCATGTAATTAAGTCTGATCTGCCAGAAATCTGGTTACTCTGGAGTCAATCCTTGTTCACTTCGTCGTTAATTAGAAAGAACCAAACTTTTTATTCATTTAATTGCAATTTAATTTTCCAATCAGTCAAATCTCGCACAATTGCATTTATTTTATTTCTTTTTAATCGCTGAATTTAGTTAATTCTCATTTCCCTTTTGTCCGTCCCTATGGAGACGATACTCGTACTTTCACCACTTTACTACTACATATTTTAGTGCGAGAAAACTCACATCATTGCCTCCGGTCCAGATTTGTTCCAGCCCCTAGCCCCATGCTTCGTCCATGATATGATCTCAACCATGAACGACATCCTTGAAATTCTCCATTTGGTGCTAGGGGTACACAACCTTTGGCCGCCATATAGTCTCTGCCGAAGAAGAGAGTCTCATGAAAGACGGACGAAAGTCGGACGAAAGTCGCACTTCGTTGATGTCTAAAGCAAAGAAAAATAACCCCTAAACTTGGGGGAAATGTCTGGCTAAAGAGAGAAGCTCTAAACGGGGTCAAGTGCCCTTTTAGTAATATTTATTAAAAAAAAACTTTTATATTTCGGCTCCCTAAAAAGTTCCAGTCAAAAAAATTAGTTCTTGTATCGTGACTACTAAAAAGTGAAAAGTAAAGATTAGTTTTTGTTATTGCGTTTGTTTAGTTCTATGATAGTTCTTTCTCAGATATTGGTGCTCTAATATTCTCCCTCAGTGTGGGAAGGAGCATTGATGTCTTTGCTAACTTGGCCTAGTCAGGAGTTTCCATATGTTTTCTCGTAGGCTGCATAGAGATGGGTAGAGGGATAAAGTTGAAAGAGAAATTTGCATTCACTCATATTCGAGCAGTTCGTGCTCCTCTTTCTTTCAAGTTGCTGTTCCAAGTCACTCTTGATTCTAGGGTGGTTTTTAATTCGAATTGTTATGTTTTAGCGTTAGTTTTTATATTTTAGAAACTAAAATTTCTTTTGGTCGGTTTCTCTCTAGAGTTTGTTAGTACAGTTTCGATCATCTTTGACTAATATGTGCCCAATTTAGGATCATTGATTTATATTGCTTTCTGGAACATGATTAACTCCACATCAGTTCGAAGGCTTATGATTGGAGGGGACTTGATATCGTATTGTAACTTGCCTTAATTTAAGCTATAAAAATATTGATTATTAATATTGATTTTAATTTTATGGAGACAGAATTAATTTAATCATCAATTAAATTTGATAATCTTTGCCTATCAAAATGATTCCGGGCGGGTAGTATTAAGAACACATACCAACTACCAAGAAAACAAGGAAATTATGAAGAAATAATTTTTGAGAGGAAAACACTAAACTACTGCAGTCCTTCCGAAAGTGCTCTCCACATATATTGTCATTCAAAAGATTTGGACTTGATGGCTCAAGGAGTCAAGGTTAATGGATTCCATCTTTACTCCATTACAACATTATGCATCTTTTTTCTGTTCATACAAAAACTGTTCAATGCGACATATATTTTTGGGTCAGTTTATAGTACTCTTGTAGTCTTATGTAAAAAACACATTCCCAAGTGATAGTGCATCTAAAAATGATGTCGGGGGAATATGATCAAAATCTGGCAATGGCATACTAACCAAAGCTTACATTATTCCTCACTCAATTAAAGGGATATATATAACTCTTCTAGCTCTAACCAGTGCACCACGGTCCACTTCCCGCCTCTGCAAATATATGTGTGATTGATTTCTTCATCGGACGCGGTGGAGGGCTAAATAAGCAAGAAACCGATAGCCCACTAACATGAATGCCATGATGGACACATCAAACCATAGATGGTCGAAACCGATTGATCTAACGGCTGGAAAGTCGCCAACGCTGCAATAAACTCCTCTTGAGCACTCATAACGATCACTGTCATTGTACTGAACACCAAGAAGAAGCTTGAAGCAATAATAGCTGTAGCTCAAGTATTTCAACCAAACAATAAAAGGCGGGATGTGCTGAATATAGTATCCACCCGCAATTAAGAAGACCAGACTTGTCACAGATGCTAAAGTGGTGGCTTGTTTGACATCCATGAGGATTGCGCCGAAAGCCAGTCCTAGACTTTGGGCAACAAGGACACTCAATAAGACTATTAGTAGAGATAGGGTGAAGGTGAGAGGGTCAGCTTTGAGGCCACCCATCCAGTAAAGGATGAAAGTGAATGCTGTTGGTAATGCTAGTTCCAGTGGCAGATCTCCCATTGTTTTGGCTAGAAAGTAGGATGAGAGCTTGTACATTCCTGATGATCTTTCTTTAATTAGCATTCTTCTTTCTTGAGGAAATGTGAAAACTGCATTGTAGAGTGGGTAGAAACCCCAAAATACTGCAAAGAATGATAACATCCCAACCTGTATAAATGAAGTAGAACCACATTAAGAGGTTGCAAATATTATGAATCACAGTTCCATCTTAAAAGAAACTTAAAAGTAGTGTTTAGATCCTAGGAGCTATGTTGCACGGAAACGCAAATATCATGAGGAAACGGGAAACAGGAAACGTCAACTTTTGCTCAAAAAGGCTTGTTTGGAGAGTTTCCGAAACGGAAACGTACTCTTTCCTAAGAGTTTCCATGCTACATAGCCTAGGAGTAGCCTAGAGTCTCACATCCCGCTTGGTAGCCTCAAATTTGAACTTGGATTTTTTCTTTTGGACTATAATTTACTGGGCTGGTCTGGTAAATGTCTGGTCTATGTGTATTTTATAATTGTCCAAGTCAGGTCTTGTTTGGTCTGGTGTAGTCTGTTTAATCTGGCCTGATCTATTGTGGGACTGAAAGTAGTCCAAAAGAAAACATTCTTTTGAGCGCTGAATTGTGTAATAATCAAAGTAAGTTACTCTAGAACACCACTTTAGCTACTTTTTCATATGATTTTTTCTTGATTTTATTTATATAATATTCAACTAGATTCAGCCAATTCGGCCAATTATAATGTTACCAAATGGATTTTTATATATAAGATGAGTGGATAAATGGGCCAAATATATCCTAAACTGATAATCCTAAATCACGATGCCAAAAACACCATTAAGTCATAACCGGGCTTGGCTCTTATAAGATGTTTAGATCCTGGTTCTATCCTAAAATCAGGAGCCCATGATTTTAAACAAGAAAAGCCAGTCGGGATATTATATAATCGCTTATTATTTTATACTAATCCGGGGGTATTAGATGAATATTTCAATATTTCTTTGAAATAAAAGTACAACTAATTTTGAGACGGAAGGAAAAATAAAGTATTTCTCAGTCCCATTTTACCTGTCTACACTTATTTTTGGGTTGTCCTAAAATAAGTGTCACTTTTTCCTTTTTGAAAAGAAATATGTGGTCCACAACAGTTCACTTTATTATGCTCAAATCTCAACCATAATTTTACCTTTTCAACCATTTTATTAATAATTGTGTCAAACTTAAATGAGACAATATATTTATGGACAGGGAGTTCTGTTTTAAAATAAACATGCAAGTCAACTACTTGGAAAAAATGGTTATATTTTAATCATTTTTGGGGCACAAATTTCTTTCAAAGGACAAAGATGGCCCTTACTCGGTCTGCAACGTGGGAAGGTGGAGTGTGCCACCACAAAAGCCCTGCAAGAAATGCAACACTTATGACTTGGAAGATTCGAAGCTTGTTGAAGGCATCATATCTCCTTTCCCTCAGTCCTCTCAACAGAAGTATCTTGAATTGATGCCACCAGCTTGTGCACCACTGATCTCCTTTCCCCTTACTTTCTGTTTCATCATCAATTAATAATTATTGAGCTTAAACATTTATGGGTTTGGAGGCCAATTCCCCAAAATATACAAACAGAGAAACAGGAAACTCACTTCTGGAAGCATCAGTGGTGTAACTGTAGTTTTGACCATTATCCAAACTGCACAGCTCAGTTTTTAATGTTGTTGAAATGTTCTTTTCATAAGCAGATAAGAGAGTTTCCCTAACACCTCTCCTCTCCTGTTCTGTACTGTTCCCTTGCTCCATAGCACTGTTGGAATCTGGCCTAATACCTGAATTCAAAATTATAAGTTGATATGTCATATGTTGATATGCATTCCCAGTCCAAAATATTTACTCATTTTAGCTTAAATGAAATTTGACCAAGGATGTTTTTACTTGGGCTGTAATTTGATGGTCTGGTCTGGTCTGGTCTGATCTGAACTGGACTGGTCTGGGACGAATTACAGTCCAAGTAAAACATCCTAATACCAAAGTCGGTCTAAACTCTGCCAAGGAATCATTTTTGGTATCAAGCCTCTTATAGGCCAGGATAAAAGAGAAGGGTGTTGTAGTAGGCGTGCGGCGGCAAACATTATCACTTATTCGCATCACATGATATGTATTAAAATATGAATTTATTATATCATGGATCGATTCATGTTAGTCGATCCCAAAATCTTTTGGGAATGGGGCTAGGATGTTGTTGTATTAAAGTTGGTCTAACTCCACCAAAAGGATCACCTCACACACTAAATTAGATCTAAATCAATAAAAAAAGATGGTCTAGAGTTTTTGTTTTTTGTTCCAGTAAGGCTTTTACAAAGTTTAAGAGTAGACTAAAATAGTAGAGCTGTAGAGGTACTCTATAATATGAGATGAAAAAGTAGAAAAAGTGTGAAACATATTATACTTCCAAAAACTTAAAACTTCCAAAAAGAAAACTGAACAAATAAAAAAAAGGTACTTGGGTTTAGGTAAATATTCGATGTGGGATATTTAACTGAAAGTAGAATTACCATTAGCAAGATCAAGCATGAGATCAGCAGGATTGACTGTGAGAGGAGTAGAAAACCCAATGGAAGAGAAGTATTGCAAGGCATTAGGGGCAGAACCATAGTAAATGGGGCAACCTTCAGATAGCAATATAACCTTATCAAACATATGATAGAGGCGGCTAGACGGCTGGTGGATGGTGGTAACCACCGTTCGGCCACCCGTGGCGAGCTGCTTGACGGTGGTTAAGATCTTCATAGCAGTGGTTGAGTCCAGCCCAGAAGTAGGCTCATCCAGCAGCAGCAAGCTGGGGTTGATCAGCATCTCTTGACCAATGCTGACCCTTTTCTTCTCCCCTCCTGATATCCCCCTAAACAAAGCCCCACCAATCATGCTGCACCTGCACTTACTCAGCCCGAGCTCCGTGATCACGCTCTCCACGTGATCCGAGACCTCCTCCCTGCTCAGGCTCTGAGGGAGCCTCAGCAGTGCAGTAAACATGAGAGTTTCTTGTACGGTGAGATGCGGGTGCAGGACATCGTCCTGCGCCACGAACCCCGTCTGCCGTTTGATGGACCCGGAGTAAGGCTGCCCGTTATAAGTGATCTTCCCCGAGAGCTTCCCGTGAAGCCGACCGCCGATAGCGGTTAGCAGCGTGGTTTTCCCACTACCGGATGGACCTAGCATAGCTAATATCTCCCCTGGACTCACCATACCTGTCAATCCATTAAGAATTGTCTTCCCTTTACTGCTGCTTGATGAACTCTTCCCTTTCCCTTCTATTTTGTACACAACATCTTCAAACTGTGACAAATTTAAAAAACTCTATTAGTTAATGGACTCATACCACATGTAATATTTACAACCCGCTGGTTAATTCTCTAGATAATTTAGTTTAGTGTGATGCATTTTTCTACCTATAATGTGACTCAGTGAAATTGTTAAACAGGTTGTGCCATACCGAAAACATATGAAAACCCGATCGTTAAAATTTATATATTCAGAAACTACTGACTTCCAGAGAATCATAAAATTCGAATTTGAATCACATTAAAAGGTTAACATTAGAAGTAAAAAGAGAGTTAATTTTCTGTGCGTTAAATGGAATGAGGGAGACACCTTCAGGACTATGGGATAGAGACTTCTTTGCAGGAATGACTGTGTATTGGTGTGGAGGCAGGGCTGAGCTACGGTGGGGGTGGCGGCGGCGGCGGCCATACTTTCAGGACTGGAACCCTCTGGCTTTGGGGCGACGGAGTGAAGGGCAGGCATGGCTAGGCCAGGCAAGCTGGTTTTGGAAATATGGTACGAGTTTAATGGTAGAAGAAGAAGTGTCTATATACTATGAATAAAGCAACAATTAGTTAGAGTATTGGGTTTTCCACACTAGCTTTTGTTACTCTAACGTTTTGGCCCCTCCATTGATGAGAAGAAATAGGGCAGCGTTTGGGGATCTTTTAAAGATGGCCCGGGTTGGCTTTAGCAAAGCAAAGTGGACAGACAGATCAGAACAGCACACACAAATCTGACATATATAAGCACCATTTCAAGCATGAAGATCCCAATGCCCGCCGTGTGTGCTTTTAAATTCCCTGTGATGGGGACCGACCTTCCAGATTGGTGGGGCCCACTCCTTTGTGTGTGTGTGTGTGTGAAGGGAATAGAGGTACTATTGAACCTTGATTTTGAGGATGATGCAGGGTCGGCTGGGTTCATTCACCAAAACTTAAGATGAAAGTTTATGGGTATTTTAATTTTAATTTATTTAGAATGTTTTTATTTGAATTGATTTCAGTCTCACACCAGACTCAAATAGACCAGACCAGACTTGATCAAACCAGACTTAAATAGACTAGACCATACCAGATCAGACATGAATTTAACAGACCAGACCGGACTTAAATAGACCAGACCAGACTTAAACAAACCAGACCAGACTTTTGTAGTTATAAAATACAAAGAGACCATACATTTACCAGATCAGACCAATTCAGATCAGACCAGACTTAAACAGATCAGATCAGACCAAACTAGACTTAAATAGACCAAACCTGACCAGACCATCAAATTACAGTCCGAGTAAAAACATCCTTAGAGGCCGTTTGGTAATACTCAAGTTAGCTGTATTAGGATGTTTTCACTTGGAAGGTAATTTGCTGGTCTGGTCTGATAAAGTCCGGTCTTGTATGAACTAGTCTAGTCTGGTTTGGTAAACATCCGATCTCTGTGTATTTTATAACTACGCAAGTCTGGTCTGATTTGGTATGTTCTGTTTAATTTTGGCCTGGTCTGGTATGGGTAGGTCTGTTTTGTTCTAGTCTGGTATGAGACTGAAAGCAGACCAAACAAAAACATCCTTAGTTGATTCTCCTGAAATTTATGAAATTTTGGCTGAAGTGCTCGGATTTGTTGATTCTGCAAGGAAAAAATTATATTTAAAATATATTTTGTTAATAAAATAAAGAAAAAATTATATGAAGAAATAGCTAAAATAATCATCTATAGTAACTTCAGCCAATATAGCCAGAAATCCAACATCATTTTTCCTTATCATCACACAATTCAACGTGCGAAATCAAAAGTTACGTTTTTGGTGAAAAAATTGGCTTACAAACCGAAAAATAGGGTAATCAAAAGCTCTTAAATTTTGAATTGTTTAGTTTGATATATATGATCAAATGTTTGTGTCTGATCTCGTCCGTTGATTTGAAATTGACATGAACCCAAATTACGAATTAGAGAATGCATAATCCTACTTATATAGATCAATCATATACAAGTGAAAGACTAGTCACGAGGGATAACTGCTTGCCTCCATCAAATTTGAACATTCAAATTAAATTATATAGAAAAAAGCATCAGCGATCGCACACAATGAGGACTCGATCCCAATCTCGGGTGGACATCTTCAATCTAGAATGAACTCCTTTGCTCTCTTGGGTGGTTGTCGTAGTTGCACTACGGGTTGGGTTTTCCTTCTCTTACATTCCTCTTTTGTATCTTCTATATGTACTTTCCTCTGCTTTTCCTTTTAAAAAAAGTTAAAATTTCATTAGATTGAATGTGATGGCAAGGACAAAAATTTGCATATTGTGATTGGTAGTGATCTATTTATTTTTTATTAGATTGAGTTATTGAGGGTAAAATTAGTGTTATTGAAAGAAGAAAGGTTACATGATTTATAATTTTAATGCACAATTTTTTACCTAGAAGGTTAGATCAATAAAATCTACTACGTATTAAAATATTCTTATCACATGGAGAGGTAGCTATAATTGAAACCTAAACATGCCAATTTATGCAATGAAAAGTAAAAAAGACAAACGCCTCAAATTCAGAAATAAAAGATGATCTCAATTTTTATGACCAAATACTCAAGTATTACTATATTAAAGTTACTTCCATTAGTAAAAGATTTACCTTTTATACACTGTCTGGTTTATTTATCTAGCTTTTAAAAACTACTTTTAGTGCCGGGATGTGATTATTATATACTCCTTTCGTCCCGTTAAAATTGTCTCATTTTACATTTTCGGGAAATCTCACTAAGATTGTCTCATATCAAATTTGGTAAAACTTATGTAGTCTATGACCCCGTTTGCTAACCCTTGTTTTCATATAATTATAAATTATGATATATTTTTATAACAATCATAGTACAAATAGAAAAGTTATAACACTTTAAAATAAATATATAAATTTTATATTTTGAATTACACGGCTTTAGGATTCCAACATATAGCTTACTTCTAATTTAAGATTTAAGGTAACATGTTCGATTCTAACTTAAATACTAATTGATGGGCGTATAATTGATAATTAATTAATATACTAAATTGAAAAGTGAATCTAGAATATTATAATCAATATTCTCTCCGTCCTCCTATAATTGTCTCATTTTTCATTTTAGGGTGTCCTCCTATTATTGTCATATTCCATATTTGGTAACATTTGTGTGACTTCAATTCATTCTTACTTTATTCTCATTTTATCAACTCATCACCAACCACATAATTCTACTTTTCTTAAAAACCACATCACTCCCTTCAGTCCCAATATTAGGGGGGCGGATGTAGTATTTGATACTATTTGATTAAAATGTGACACATGACAAAACTTTCCAAAATTATATCTTTGAAATGTATTATTTATATACTCATATGTTTTTGCTTGAGCTTATTTCTAGATCAACCCGAATCAAAACATATCAGATCAGATTTAAACCTATTAGACTAGGCTTATGATATTTTCTTTTTTATTGTTTTCAGTCGCAGACCAGACCAGATCAGACCAGATCAGACCAGACTTTTGTAGTTATAAAATACACAGAGACCAGAGGTTTACCAGACTGGACTAGATCAGACCAGCAAATTTCACTCCAAAAAAAACATCCTTAAACCTACTAGACCAGACTCTGACAATTATAAAGTACACATAGAGCAGGGAAATGTTTACCATATTAGATTATATCAAACTGGACTTAAAAATACTAGATCAGTCTAGATTAGACCAGATGCGAGACATGAAGAAGCATCTCCTATGGATGCTACATCTAGACTTCTTAATAAACATTTTATTCTCTAGCGCCAAATGATGTAATAATTAGGTAAAGTTGAATTTTCTAAATAGGATAGTACTAACTTCTTTAATTTTAAATTACATGTTAACAATTTTAGTTATGCAATGTGTTTAAATATAGAGATATTTTCTGAAATATTACAAATAAAAAAGTATATAAAAAGTGTAATTTATTATTATTACTACGTACTTATTAGTGACTATAGTTGTGTAAAAAATATTATGATGAACGTACATCATACTCAGTAGTAATTAGATGTAGTCACTAATCATTATAACAAATTCACATTTTTGCCCACCACTTTTTCAAGGTAATATTAGTAGAATCTTTTCTTAAATATACCCATTTTGTGGCAAAATATACAGTACAACCGGTTGTACCATTCACACGCTACATGCATGCGGGTATTTTATGTTAATAAGTGAGTATACCTTTTTAAAAATGAGTATTAGTATTAAATTATAAATTTAGCACAATAAGTATTTTAATGATAATTCAATGATATAGTTAAATAGATAAGTTGATTTGTATCATATATATTGCGTGCAGATCATAATACTCAATTGTGCTACCAATATAGTGATTTAGTACTAATACTCATTTCTTTTAGACTATACACATTTCTTTTAAAATAAAATATCCGGTTGTACAATGTGCACGGTACATTTTAGCATTTTTTTTAATCTTCATTCCTTCTTTTTCCTACTTATTTGTGTGTTACCTCTTGTTTACATGATGCACATGGATTAAAGATTCTCTTAGCTTAGCCCACCCTCCCTCACCTTTGCTTCTTTTAGATTTTGCTGTTTGCTTTAGGCTAGGCCGGATGAGAAAGTTAAAAGATTGAAGGAAGAAGCCATCTATCAGTCGCGATCTGATTCCAATTTGCTGTCCACAAAAGTGCTCGTTTTTTCCCAGAGCACTGATAAGTTAAAGCAGGCAACATATGGGGTCATGGATCCTGTGCTAGTAGCTAGCTACATACATGCACCCAATCAGCTTTAATTTTCCATCTCCCAAAGTGAAGACTCTATGAGGTTGGGTGGCATGCAAAAAGGTTCAAGTACTAAGAACCATGTGCTTTTCAAGTCAAACGAATTGATTGTATTTTTTTAATCTCCATTCCTTTTTTTTCTTACTTCTTATTTAAATTATCTGGAATACTTTGGCATGCAAAATTTTCTTTTAAAAATAACTATGCAATTAGGATTCTATTTGTAAAAATAAAATCGGCTGAATTGGTTGGATCTACTGTAATTGATACATAGTAAATTTTTTGTTTAATCAGTTGAATCGTTTGAATATGCTATATTATGAAAAAGAAACATTTAAAATACATTTTATTTAAAAACTAAAGTAAAATTATACGTAGTATGAAAAATAGTTCAAATGTCCCCATAGTTTCAGCTAATTCAATAATAAAAGTAACTTCAATTTTACTTATTTTGATTATTAAATGCTACAGTCAAAGGTTGCGTGTGTGTCAAAAAAAGTTGACTCATAAAGATGACAAACTGAAAATATATGGATTACCAAATGGGTTATCAAAAGAGGTTCGAATTAATATAAATCACAATAATATACTACGTATATTGTAGTTTATTAAAAGTTATTCAAAATCAGAATATAGTAAATGATAAATAAGGATGATGATAGTAGAATACTAGATTATATATGATGTACTCATGTACTCACTATGTTTATTTACAAATATAGTCACTGCACTTAGAAGGTCACACATTTTTGTAAAGAAACAATTCCACTTTTGATCTTACGAATATTGCACCAACTTCATAATTGACCCACGTCTTTGATCAGTTTTAGTACATGACTATTACTCCCTCCGTCCCGCTAAGATTGTCCCAGACACTATTCACTTGGTCAATACAAATCACTCTTAATCTCTTACTTTACATTTTAAATTTTTATCAAATTTGATTCTGGTTTTTGCGACTTTGTAA